GTACCCATATCTCGCCCCGAAGGAGTTTTCTTCGCACTTTCTGATACCATCGAAGATACGTTTAACGCAGGTACTACTGTTTTCTCTCTCGCAGCGATTCGCAGAGCCGGAACATCAAACCAGCGATGCCAAAGAACAAAGTACAGCGCTAGTAGCGGTTAAAGCAGAACTGAGTTGCCAACGAAAAATTCCGCGTCCGCTGATCGTCGTTGTCGTAACCGCCAGTGATGGCACCGCTACAAGTCTGATAGAGCACCGCGGACAGCCGCGGCCGCCGTCAACGCCGTTGAAACTACCGGTGAGATATTTATTTGAGTTTTATTGAACTCTCACGATCGCTAAGTCCGGGAGGAGCGACGAGACACGGTCGACTGGTGGCCCGGGGGTAGCGCCATCAACTGCAATAGTATCTGGTAACGCCGGCGGCAATATATCGCTGGCTGCACAGAAAAGCAAGCGAAAACAGAGATGAATTGTAGTGGCCGACGTTATCAACTTTGGTTCGAGATCTGTCATCGAAATATTGGAACGTTATTTAGTGACGACTGGAAGAAAGGCGACCGGAGGGTGTGAACGAAGAGTAAAACCATCGCGGATTTTGTGATCCATGCGCTGATGTCTTGCAAGTAGAATGCAACACCTGCCTCCGAACAAATGCCGCCACCACATGCAGGTGTTCCTGCCAAAAAAAACCAACACATTTGAGGAAGCAGCTCGCAACAGACGTGGGCAACAAGCGGCAATGTTTATTGCTGCTCGGCCCTCATGAATAACTAGCGTGACAACTAACCAACTGAGTGCAATAAATAGCATCGGTAACGAGCACGGCGACTTCCATTATATCTATGCATCGTGATGCAGGACAGAGGATAATAATTAGCGAGATAAATTAGACAGCACGTACTATTTTTGTATACATAATTGCTGCCCATTTCTCGTACAATAGACCCTTCGTCAATTATATATATATATATATATATATATGTAGAAGCAAAGCATAGTTTCGCCATAGGTTGAAAGCAAGGCAAGTTGATCGAAATTTGAACTTATCGCTCTTATGAGAAACCGAAAATATGGCTAGATAGATAAAAGCGTTGTACTTTGAACAAATAAATTTCGTTACTTAGATTTTTTTTGCAAAGTGAGTCAATTTTTGGCAAAAACAGCGTTTTCTATATTCACCTCGATCGTTCCGAGAAAAAGGGGTACCGTCATTACCGTTAGAATAGTCCGCCTCATCGTCGTCGTCCGTCGTAGAAGAATCGTCTAGGATAGCGTGCACGTAATTTATTCCCGTACATTATAGTTCTTTTTTTTTTTGTTACATTCGAGTCGATAAACGGTAAACCAAAACTCTCCTGGCGACGACACACATTTGTCGTCCCGTTGAGTAGTCTAAATTGCTATGTGTTGAATTGCCCGCTCTGTGATAGAGCCAGCCGGTGTCTGAGCTGTCATCGAACATGCACTTTGTTATGTTTTACAGGGGTTACGTTTTACTGCTGTCGAGCTTGCTGGCCCTTATCGTGCATATATTTCCTCAGTTACAGCGAGAACCACTGTCTCTATATATAAAACTTGCTTTTCCCCCAAATTGTTTCTGTTCGTTCCTACAACTCTACACATTGTGCCACTGTTTTGTGTATTTTTGTCGATATTGTAAGACTCGAGTCGGGTAACACCTCCGAAAACTTCAAGTGGCGTCTTGGTTACATTATATACGGGTTGCGACCCTATATATACGCATATACATACAAGGGCATTATGTTGTCGCATTTTGTGTAAACGAAAGCCAATGACGAAAGCCAGTAAAGCAGTAGTAAACCGAATTGAAGCACTTATTACATGCTGTAGATACGCGCAACGGGTTTGATTTATCATGATACTTATCACTCGACCCTTTTGTTTCGATAGCGTATGTTCATTGATAGCACATTTCTCGATTTTATGCTGTTCTAACTATACATATAGGTAATCGACTTTGAATTTTTCCTATAGGTCCCGTAATCAGCCAGCTTTATCGCCAATAGCCGTTACATAACCACACGAAGCGACCGCATTTCAGTGGCGGACGGCCTGTTCCGTACGAGAAAAGGTCGAGTGAACCTACAGACACACAACTCTATATACTGAATTCGGCTTTGATTTAACAGAATCCTATCGCTAAGAATGAAGGTTTGTTCGAAAAAAAGAAGGACATGCTTGATACCTATCCCATTTTGCCCATTACCAAGCTAACAGGGCTAGTGAAGAAGCACTGGATAGGACGGAAGGACTCTACGACTGAAAGGGGTTTGTGCTTGAGATTTGCTGATGGCGTTTTAAAACAAGCGGCTAGCACATTGAGCGAGAAGATCAAGCGCACCCGTAGCACAGTTGAATCTATGGTATTTAGTCAGAAATTGAGAGTGCCCAGTATACTGGGAGACTAAGCGGCTTCTAGTCGTGCCTCGACCTATTGCTGGGCACAGAGAAACACAAAATCATACAGTTATCGTCAGTGAGAAAAGCTGATGGATCTCCCAATGAATACAAGGCGCACAAAGATACGCCGAAAATGTCCACCCCGAAATATCCATGCTGTACGTTCAATGGACGCTGTGGGATATCTGAGAAAAGAAGGACATTCGATCGTGATGTCTACGTTCCCCCTGCATTAAGTGAATGAAGACGTCCTAGTGGAAAGTTCTCTTTTCCCACCGCAATGCGGAGTTACACTACGGAAGCTACCTTGTGACAATTCGACTGAGCGATTGATTCTTACGCATCCACGACACTGACCACATATTGGGCCTGTGCAAAGGAATTGCACAGGCCCAATATGTAGCGAACGACCTGGCTTGACGAGCTCTACAAAACATCTTGGAAGAAATTCATTCGTTACTGAGGTAAAGAACGACCGTAGTTTATGTTCGAACATATATTCATAATGGTACTCACTGTTACATTATTGTGAGTGTCGTACATCACTACCAGTAGCGGCGGTGGTGGCAATAGTAGTCAATAGCAATGGTACTATCATAGCTGATTAAAATCGGTGCTGATGATCACTGCGACCAAAAAGGGTGATGATGACGGACATTATCGTACGATGGCACCGCTGCCAACTGTAGTATATAGGTTTAATTTAATTAGGTAAACGGAGTTTGAAATATGGCTGGGGTCCGTGTTGTAGCTACAATTGGGCTACATTACGGTCGCTCTATATAATTCTTCCACTATTTATTAGAAAAGTTGTCCGCATAACTCCATTACGGGGTGTTCGTCTTGTCACCCGCCGCCAATCGCTTGCCGTGGTTGACGTCACCAGCGGTCATACGTTGTAGTCGCCGATGCTGCTCCTGCTTCTGGCTCAAATGTACGAGATAACCACAAACGCGCAGTGCTACACACGCGGATAGTCGACGAAAGAAAAGAGTGCAAAGTCCTAGTAGGCTCCTTGTCATGCCACGAACATCAGCAACCCAATCATCATTGGCGTCGCCGCCGACGTCAATAGTAGATGCAACAGTACGGGAGGGCCAGCGTTAGCCGTACGACGGCCGTCGCTGCTGGCGAACCAAAACGGCCAAACTGGACTGACCAAAGTCGCGTCGTTGCATCGGGGCCACTCAGATTGTCAACCATCGTCACCGAAAAGAAAGCAGAAAATGTATGGACGTACACGATGAACGCCGAAACCGACTGACGGCGAGGTGTTTTTTTGTTGGAAATTTTCATGTTATCGGAGATATATCTCTCGCATGCGATGCTTTTTGCGGTGCTTCTGGTGACCAGTGCCGACTGGTGTTAGTGAATCGCTGATGTTGAACGCCAGCCAGACGCGCGATTGGACAGAGACTGACCGATTATACCGGATTTGATAGAACACCAATTTGTCGATAGTCCCATTGCTATTTGATATGGTTTTTTGCATTTTCACCTCGGCGTATAGAGGCACCGTTGATATCATCGCCCAGATGCGCGCCATTGCTATGCCTGTCAATTCGCTAATCGTTTCGCCAGATACCATTATCAAGCAATATGTTAGGATCAATTATAGCCTAGTTTATTTTAAGCGGCATATGTTTTTACGTCTTTATACAGACATTGTTCATTGATCCGCATAGAATTTATATAATAATCATCGTTCTACGCTCCCTGTTACCCATTTGCAGTGCGGTTAGTCTAAAAGCAGAGTTAGTCGCTTTCCTGTTGGCCTCGCGGCGTCACGGAAACCACCGTAGCAAAAGTGGCGCCAGGCAGAGTAAGAAGATATCCTACCGCACTTCATACATAACGTCCCTAATAAAATAGCTATACTTGCTTTGTGTTGTGAAGAAGCGACGATCCTTTTAGATTTCGGTGTTACTTAATCTAAACAGGAGTCACGAAGAGAAGAAGAGGAAGAAGAACGCAGTACAGAAAGCTAGCAAGATAGCGACAGCCGCCAACGATCGCAGGGGTAACGGCGTTACACACAAACCTGATGTTCTTGACACTTCACCATGCACTCGTTTGAAGCTCAATCGAGCATTGGTTTTGATACATTTTTATTATTATTATTATTATTATTTTGAGTAACTACCAGGCCGAAGCAGTCAAAACGTTGTCGGTGGAATATTGAAAAGTAAGCCTTGTTGGTGTTTTTCTTGCATTTGTCCCAACATCTGGCACATACTACAAACTGGTCCGTAGCAGGCCAGTGACTTTGAAGATATGAGCAGTACGTAGGTTAGGTTTTTCCAGCTAGCTTCTGTGAAGAACTATGCAGAAACCAACGAGCGCTTTAGATTGAATAACAATCATGTAGGTACACGTTAAGAAGAAATACAATAGGGGGCAAAAGAGAATGTGACCGATAAATGAACGCAACTGTGTTTGCTGTAAATAGTCGACGAGTGGATAGAGAGCGACAATGTAGCGGACTTAGAAGAAATGTATCTTAATTTGCCATATACATACAAACGTCTTCTGTTAACTATTGAATCTGATTCGAGTTTGTTTGTGCTATATTTCAGATCCGACACAGGTTGGGCTGCTACGAGGAGGTGATCACCGTTCATAGTCGACAAATTCGCTATTGCAACTGGGTTCGATTTCTTCGAGTGGTCCCAGAAATGAATGACGAAGTCAATTTGCTGGCAAGCACTGTTCAGGGAGAAACCATATTTGAGGTACTCGTCGAAGTAGCTCCGGGTGTAGAACTTGTAGCCTTCTTTGATAAACGCGATGGTACACCTCCTTCATTACCGATCTTGGCCCTTCAACGTAGCGTCAATTTCCTTCAGTACCGCAATGGCATGGGCAGTATCCTTGAAGGTAAGACTGTAATAAAATTTATTTTCCATTCAATTTTGCTTGTTGAAAACATTCATTGGGATTGAGTCCAGTTGATATTATAACTTACGTACAGACGTAATAAAGCTACGTGACCAGTTTAACAACTGGTTCGGTAAAGGAAAAATACACATTCGTGGAAAAACAGGACGCTTTAGATCAACCTTCATCATTTTCTGTCGGTTTTTTTTTTCTTTAATTAGTAATTTTTAACTACTTGTGTTGAATGGGCGTACGTCAAGCGTAAAGAAGCAATTTGAGTCCCGACTCATGCCTGACCAGTGCTGGCTTGGGTCTTGTATGAGCAATTTTGAAGCGGCGACGTATTGATGATGTTATTGCTCATCCCAGTTGTTTGAAGGCTAACTAGTCTCTATTCTAAGTTCTCTGGGTGCAGCTGTCAATTTATATTGCCGTAACCCACAGCTGAACCGTGAAGTAGCTTCTGCTACAAGCTAAACGCACGTTCAATGTGTGCGTGTCTATAAAACACAGAGAGAGAGAGAGAAAACAGAAACAAACACGTATTATCCCGACTGCATTGCGCCTTCTTTGGTAAACAATTTTCTGACTAAATGTACTACTTATGCAAGGAACCAGTAAAGAAAAAGGAGAAGGAGTAGGATGAAGAAGTCACAGGATGCAATAAAAAAAAAGAGGGACTATAATAGGTAGGCTATACGTGACGGTTGCGTAACGACGATGCTGCTGCTGCTGCTGCTGCTGGGGATCCGCCACGTATCCAGCGGCAGCAGCCGTTTCTAGCAGTAGTAACTTCACAATGATATAACCGTTTTCCAAGAGAGCGTTGCGTCTGTCGTTGTACCAGTTTTCGTCAGACACAACAGCTCTGTCTACGGCCGTCGACACATCATTTCTATCGAGGAATGGGAGGTAACTAGGCGCACGAAGAAGCGTTGCAATCTATTAGTTGTTCTCACCCGTTATTGTTACTGCTACTCATCATCGTCGTCGTCGTCGTCGTCGTCGGTGTTATCGTTACCGTCGTTTTTCGAAGAAGGTTCAATTCGCGCAGACCTGTTTTCGCTACCGTCCGTCAGCCCGTCCGTCAGTCGGCTCGCTCGCTCTGACGACTACTAGCGGTCACCTGGTCGCTAGGTGGATGCCGGACGGAAGGGCGAGACAAGATGTTGAAAAGCAAATTAGAGTCGAAAAAAGGTTCGAGGCGGGGGGAAAGAGGTCTATGAGGTTAGCCTCACATGCTGGTAATGGGGGTGCTGCTATGAAGCGTCGCTTGGCGATTGCTTGAGTGACGGACCGACGAGCGCCTTGTGAGCTGTCACTGCGGTGACAGGTTCTAGTCCTCGCGGAGTGATGCAGCCATAGGCACACAGGTAAGCAGAGGGACAGACTCTTGGTAGGAAAGTAATAGTAATAACAGCGAGAGGGTGGTCAAAAGAGCAACGATAACAGCATCAAAGTACCAACGAGTGCTTCCTACTCCCTGATCAGACAAAGAGAAAGGCTGTACGCAGAGTACGCGCCCATGATTATGGGTATAGTGGTGCTGAAGTAGCCAACGACGAAGCATCTGCAGCTGAAAAGTACACGCTTCGGCTGGATGATGTTATTTGGCCGCTACTGTGACAGTCAGTGCTGATTTTACTGCTGTTACTTCTGCTCTAGCAGAGGTAGTCGCTGACAAAGTAATAGCGGCTATGAGCTGCCTGTAGTTAACAACTGTGTGCCAATGCGAGCCGGTCGTACGTTCTGTCTGGGAAGCAGGGTTCCGTTCAAAGACACGTATAACTACCGTCGACTCCACCTATGTACAGCAATGGCAGTAGTGCGCCACTCAATCGGCTACGGCAGTCGTGGTTTGTAATTCTCAGCTTAGTTTTGTAGAACTTTTCTCTCAACGTCTCTGAGCAGACGACGACAACTTGTTGCGAAGTGTACACGCTACTGCTGAACGATATGCCATCGCTTTTATGCGTCGCGTGCGATCAGCATAAAACAAAACTTGTCTAAGATTTTCCTGTACGTGCGGCATGCACCTTCTTCTGGTAATGTCTTTGTTACAGTTGCTATTGCTGATGGCTCGCTATCAAGCAGTTTGTGCTATTGATGCACTACAGCCGTCTCTATCCGATGCTGTTGTCGTTGTTTTTAGTTCTGAATTCGCGGTCGTCAAGACATTCGTTCCCGAAGGCAGTTTTCGTTACCTCCTTCCTTCTGGCGTCTCGTTCGCCACTCTAATGTCTAATTACCTCACTGCGGTTGAAAACATCTGCTAATTCCGTGTGCTGCCGCTCCCGCTGGCGTTTCTGTGCGACGACCGCTGCTAAAAATAACGCCGCCACCGTCAGCCTCACTACGATGGCGGCAGCGGCCGTCAGCTCGGTAATGGCCACTATGGTTTTTACTTCAAATCCTGCGTCTGCTTTCCCTGAGGTGGTATTGTCCCTAGCGCTCGTCGTCATCAAAAAGAAAATCGGAGGAACACATTATGTCGTATGTAGAAGATGAAAAGATGGGTGAGGAACAAGGAAAGGCGGGAATAGTAAATCGACTCCCTCCAGATGAACGGCCAGCGACCAGTCCTCACTATAACTACTGATTTAGCCAAGTAATCATGTGATGAGGGTATAACTATATGAAACTTGTTGTGCGGGAAACGGGTCGGATACCCTATCACTGCTGAGCCTCTAGATAGCGGTTATTTGAAGAACCGACCTGTCTACCCCCTTCGTAAGTTCTATCGTCTGTCGGATCCATCTCTATCTGAGAGGCGCTGAGTGGTGGTTGCCTTCTAATTTGTGCTACCATAACTCTCGCTACTGTTGGTGATGCCCCTCACATTCGTACATCACCACACACATAGACACACCATGATTTGATCGCCGATGAAAGTCGAGCAGTAGAAACAATGGTACAAAGGGCTATAATAGTCAGGTAGCTCAAAGTAAATTAACAACGTCCAGGAAGGCTGTTCGATAGAAACAAGCCTAACGTTACTTAACAGTAAAAAAAAAAAATCAAGCGTATATTTAATTTTATTCTTCTAGGTTAGGGGGAGAGAGACGAAGGCTTAACAAGTTCAACGGACTCCATGCACAATTGGCACGGGAGTAACAAAGTACTATTATTCAGTTGCTTCGATCTGAAGTCGTGTCCGTAACGATAACAGTAGCTGAAACGAGAGAAGCGATTTTTCGATCACAGCTCAGCTGTTGCTCTCCCGTGATGATAGCGGCGATGATTATTGAGTCTTCACTGAACTGTCAAAACGGTCACAGTTTTAGCTGTGCCACATGTATCTTCCTATTCAAATGCAAATTCTAATTACGTCCATTTATTCAGTTGTCACAAACATCGACAACCGGGCGGTACTTTTTCATCCTAGCCAGTAGAGATGACGGTACGGGATAACAGTTGTCGTACAATTGCCAGTGGTAGCGGCTAAGGCGCGAGAGCTCAACGCTGCAGTCACTGGGGAAACAACGTTGGAATCAAGCAATATGTAGTCGATTATTGAACGATGAGATCTTAAACCTTGAATGATTAAAGCTATAACCGTCGCTGGATAAAAGGTACCAATGTTTGGCAAGCAGCATTCGGATGAGCTATACTCTGGTAACACTGTTTTCAATATTGGATTTCGACTATGTTTCTGAGCAGACGAGAACGTGATAACACGCGGGACAATTTCTACAGTAGAAACGGCACGGGCACTAATATTTGTCCCTCTCTTATCCGCCAACGCCGCAGTTCGATAAACGAGTCGTATTTTCTTCCTTTTGTTATTTGCCTATCATCTAATTTTGATTTTCATTAACTACCGCATAGACAGAGATGCTCGCCCATCGGCCAACGTACGTGCAGCGGCACTCTTCTGATACTACTGATTCTGTCTTCTGTGAAAAAAAAACTATATAGAACATTGAGTTCTGGCGTTACCGTTACTTATGGCGAAATTTCATATTACCATCTATGCATATCGTGAAAATCAAAATGGCGTTTAAGCAACGTTGGATCAACATCACGAGAATTGTCAGAATCGAGGCCATGAAGCCGGTCAACCTGCGTCCGATTTAATAACAGGGCAACCAATAAGCTTTTTCGTTGTTGCTCTTGCCACCGGTTAAGTTGGCTCTGTCTAGCGCAACTTTCGTCAGGATGCTGGCCAAGATCCGTACAAATCACCCTATCAGCTTTCGGCACACAAAAAATCAATTAATAAATTCAATCTGCGTTCAAATTATCGCGCCATCCTATTGACTAGCGAGCTGGCTGTGCACAAGGGAGCGATAATATCTAAAATCTCTGTATAATCAGACTCATAACATAAAATTCAGTATATCACTCAGCCGTTCATGCCGGCGACAGAAGCGCGTCCAGCTTCAATATTCGTCGTCCGTTTCGGCTTCGTTCTTTATGCAATTGAAAAAAAATATCGATTATCTAATATATGTAAGTAAAATAAATAACTAAATAAATAAATGCAGTATGAAGACGAGTGTGAAGTAGTGGTAATGATTGCACAAGAGACAGACACGAACGTGCTATCGATGTTATATTGTACTATATTGTTGCTGGGCCGAATATTGCTATATTGTCAAATGTCGTGGGTTATCCTTAGCGTTGTTTTTCTGCTGGCGCCCTGTCAAGTCTTTCGATCGGACACATTTTACTGCGCAGGGGGCGCACGACAGACGACGGAGAAAGAGACTATCTCCGCACCATTTCGTCTCTCTTCTGGAGACCGGATCAGCAGATCGATCAGAAATAGCAACTACCGCGCACAACAATACAGCCAATGTGCTCAATAAGCAACACAACTACCATTGTTACATAATCATCATGCTTCGCTATCTCCCCCGATAATAGGTACATGCAGATGGTGGTGACTCTGAAAAAAATGCCGAACTACTTCTTATCGCCCATCTCCTCTTTTCTCTTGTTAGCACGCAATTTCTTCCTCTCTACTCCAGCAAAGTATCCCACCCACTTTCCGTTCC